GCAAACCTCTTGTTGCATAAAGGTTGATCGTGTGCCGGAGATCTGGAGTTGAGATGCGCCACTTGACAGCATCTGTTGGGTAAGGGATGCTGTTTATGGAGTTCCAAAAGCTTTTCAAGAGCTTCTTGACCTCCACAGTGCTAACAAGCTAAAAAAAGAAGCATCCCCCCCCCCCCGTTTAGAAACAAAATGGTTCGTCTTTTGGTTCCATCGTCTGGAAAAGGCAGAGGCTATTGAGAAATGCATTGCATACTCATTAGCCAGATCTCTCTCTTACGTCTAAAAAACAAGTTCTCTTCATTTCTTTGCCAGTTGGGTGTGAGATTGGCTGGCTGTTATCATTTCCCTCCTGTCCCCCCCCCCCTTCTTCTCCTCGCCCAACAACTCCTTTGATGTGCCAGCTCTGGCTTCCATCCAGCATGGCCTTCTTACCTTGGATAAGGGCACTCTTAAAGAGGGAAGTGATGGTTTGTGGGTTTTCATAGAAACAACACCTGTTTCTATGGGATTTTTTATTTCGGTGAGCCAAAGGAAATGGCAAAGCTTCAAGAACTAAATTGGATTATTTTGTTGGGCTTGACAGTTCTGGAAACCAGGAGGTCAGACTAGCACAATGCAAGAGATGGACACAGATCCACTACTAGAACATGACATATACTTTAGACTCACACCTGTGTATATATAGTGGCCTGCCTGGAGAAGGATGAAATAGATTTGCGGGACAGGGTTTGATCTGGCCTTTGGGCCTTCCAGTTGGCCATTTCTGTTTTCTTTGTATTATTCATGGTGGAGTGGTACAATGTTACACTATTGTCTCTTTAAACTTTGCCAACAACTTGGGCTGCACTTTGCCTTCCAGCTGCCTATTGAGGGGAGGGGAGAGACAGAGACCTTTGCCCCACCCCTCAAAAAAAAAAAAAAAACTTTGGAAAGAGGAAGGAGAGAATTTCAATGAATGTCTTGTAGATGCAGATGTATGGCACTCAACCTCAATAACAAAGGGGCTATTGTTATATTCAGCTATTGTAGCCTGTCAGCACAAGGGATTCTTCTTGCACAATGGGAGCTCCCTCCCCATGTATGCCCCACACCTTCCCCAAATCTGCTGCAGAGGATTGGGGAACCCCCTCCCCCAGGTTAAGCGGGTACATGTGCACAAGAGAAATGGATGAAACATGCATCTTGTTTCTACTTTGGATCCAACCCAATATGGCCTAGGGAGGGGCCCTTTCTAAAATTCCTGTGCCACACTGTGGGTGCTTTTCAGCCATTGTAGCTTCTTGGTCAAACCTGGAGTTATCCTTACCTTCTCAGTGAAGTTTTCCAGGAACCTTGGGAGGAAATGTAAAAAAGGAGCACATGTGTGCCCATTGAGCACCATAGAAATCCATTAAAGGAAGCACCAAATGGCCTCCTGAGAATGTCACAGAAATTCTCCAACACTACAATCCCCAATGAAATGCCTGCCTTCTTTAAAAAAAGAGAAGAGAAATATTCCATAATTGGTGGTCAGGTTTTTGATGCAACATTACTTTAGACTTGTGCCAGTCAAACCAAACCAAATTCCGAGAATTTCTGTTCTGATGGTGAAGATTAAGTGCTCATTAGATGCACCTCATAGCAGCACTGAAAGTCTGTACAAGGCATTAGCTACTTCATTTAATTGGAAGCACTGTGATCTTTGATATGAAAATAGTGGTTTGGGGGTGAGGGAGGTTCTCCAAAATTACTTTGTACAATTGATCCCCTTACCTGCTGCTCCTTTGCTACCGTTTTCCCCTGAATATGGTTTCTCTTTTCTGATCCCAACCAATTAGGGAGCATGTAGTGACATGAACAGAGTCATGGCACTGTACAGCCAATCAGAGCTGGCACCATGATGTCCTTGAAGGTAAATGGTGAGTGATGACAAGCCTTCCTGGCTTAGGGCGCATTACTGAAGCCATCCAAGCAGGGATATTGGTGGAAGAACTTGAAAGTGATGTTGTGATGCTACATGGAGTTAGGGGGATGTTGTGATGCTAACCTGCTCATTAGATTTGGATACATGATGAGGCAATTGCTTTCACTTACCCTCAAATAAAAAAATAGAGCAAAAACAATGCTTTAAAAAGTGTAAAATGCCTTCATTTTCAGCTATGACAAAGGTTTGTGAAAGTCTATGTGTGGTTGTGGCTTAGCTCACAGTTTGAATAACATTGTAGCCTTCTAAATAGCTTAGATCCACACCTTTCCCTTCTGTATCCTCCCATCAAAAGTCCAAAAACTCTGCTGGCAACGTAATTCACAGTGCTCTAACTAGAAGAACTCAAAACAAGCTGCTTCCCCCTTACTCACTGAGTAGATCCCTTCTTTGCAGATGTGGAGGGGACAGTGGTTCAAGTCCCAGCAGCGACCACCCAAAGAGAAAAGATGACTTGTAATTACAGCAGTCATTAAAAGTGATTAATGATAGCAAAAGAACTTCCAGCAATTTTTAAAGCAATTAAATACTAATTAATTCCTTCACACTGCTGAGCTGCATATTTGCTTTACTGGTGGCATTTATGACTGCTACCTAATGCATAGTTTGAAAATATTGAAATGCAGTAAGTGATTCTTGCTGAGATTTCCCTAACCTTTAGTAAACATGAACAAATAGTGGTTGATTTGTTTGCCTTTCCATGCTAATTGGCAGTTTATTAATACTGTATTTATTTTTGATAAACATTTCCCCACCCCGCTGTAAGCTCTATGGACTGGGTGGAGTGGAAGTGATGAGCAGGGTGGGGAGATTCTGAATTTTGCACTGTAAGAGATGTCATTTGGGATCGCCTTCAGCAATGGGTGTGTTTAGCCTGGAAAAAAGGAGAATGAGAGGAAATATGAGCGCCATCTTCAAATATCTAAAGGGCTGCCGCATGGATGATGGAGCAAGCTTGTTTTCTGCTGTTCCAGAGGGTACCACTGTCAAATTACAGTGGTACCTTGGTTCTCGAATGGCTTAGTTGCTAAACAAATTGGCTTCCGAACGCTGCAAACCCGGAAGTAAGTGTTCCTGTATGCGAATGTTTTTCAAAAGCCAAACGTCCGACGCAGCTTTCGCTTGAGTGCAGGAAGCTCCTGCAGCCAATCAGAAGCCGCGTCTTTGTTTTTGAATGGTTTCGGGAGATGGATTCGCAGAATGCATTAAGTTCAAGAACCAAGGCACCACTGTACAAGAAAGGAAATTCCGACTAAACATTAGGAAGAACTTGTTGTCGGTAGGTGTTGTTCGTCAGTGGAATGGATTACCTTGGGTGCTGGTAGACTCTTCTTCACTGAATATTTTAAAACAGAAGTTGGATGGATTCCTGCATTGCAGGAGGCTGAAAAAGATGGCCCTTGGGGTTTCTTTCCAACTCTACAGTTTCGTGATTCCAGGACTGTTAAACTACTCTGAGGAGGCTCAGTGCGATGGCTGTGGCTTGAGCAGAGTCTCAAAATCAGATACAGTGGTCTGAATACTCCCCATAAACAAGGCTAAGGTGCCCCATCACTGCCCTAATCAGTGAAAGGGTGGTTTATAAATGTGATGACCCCCTCATTTCAGCTTGCCTGCTGAATGCCAGGCACGATTCCTTCCCTTGTCTCTCCATCCCAAATCCCATTGCCCAGTCCAGAAGTCCGGTGCCATAATTATTCAACTTATGTATAAAATTGCACAATTTCGGATGAGGTATGCATGTGGGTCTTTTCCTCTGCATAGTATGCAAATCCTCGCTTAACAACATACCGTATTTTTTGCTCTATAAGACTCACTTTTTCCCTCCTAAAAAGTAAGGGGAAATGTGTGTGCGTCTTATGGAGCGCATGCAGGCTGCACAGCTATCCCAGAAGCCAGAACAGCAAGAGGGATTGCTGCTTTCACTGCGCAGCGATCTCTCTTGTTGTTCTGGCTTTTGAGATTCAGAATATATATTTTCTTGTCTTCCTCCTCCAAAAACTAGGTGCGTCTTGTGGTCTGGTGCGTCTTATAGAGCGAAAAATATGGTACCTTATTAAAAAAGGACCAGGCAAATTAAAACAATTGCTGTGTAGCATGGACTAATTCCTGAGCATTGTGTTCAGGTTGCAAGACTGGCTGGCTGAGTTTTGCAGGGAGGCTCCTTCCTCCTGAGGTGAGAGCTTCAAAGGCAGTAAAGAATTGTATAAAAGAACTGAGGATGTGCGGGGGGGGGGGGGGAATGAACAAAAAAAGGATGAGCCGCAACATCCATTGTCCAATTAGGGAGCTGATAAGGTGGCCAGAGAAAGTTAAATGGGTTCATTGGGTCCTCTTTGTCATTCTGATTCTGCTCCCTCAAAAAAGTACTTGATAAAAATAACTTCATTTCTCCTCCCTCTGCCACTGTCTTGATTTCTTCCTAATGCTTTTCATGCCTGGTCGCTGCTAGGAGAGAACAGATATTCTGATTAAATTAAGACAGACACTCAAACAGCTGGGCTGCCAAACTGGGATTTTATAAAAAATAATACTGTTTACAAAGCTCTCCCTCCTTCTCTCTTGCTCTTCCTTATGGTGAATATAAAATGAGCCTGTTCTACCCGAGGAGGGAGAAAGCTTGCCTCTAGCCGAGGCGGAGGAGCAAAGAAATGGGAGCCTCTTAGGAAGAGAGGAAGCTCCCTTCCACCAAGTCAACGTAACTCAGTACCGTCTACACTGACTGGTAGCAGCAACACTCCAGGGTTTCAAGCAGGGAACCTACCTGGAGATGGTACAGCGATTGAACCTGGGGCCTTTTGTATGCAAGAAATCCACCCCCCACTCCATTCAGCATGTACAGTGGCCCTTGTTCTGGGCATTATTTGAGTGCAGTGACTTTCAGTTTCTCTTTTTTCAGTTTGCTGCATTTCTACATCCGTTTGCAAAATTGTATATTTTACAAGTCTGCAGATCTGTATCCATTTGGGGGCCTGTTTCTCCAAATGATGGCATTTTTGTGTGCCAGTTTTTTCTGAAGGTGCTCATTCCAGGGATAGCTGGGGTAGCTCATTCTGTGGAGCATAAGACTCTTAATCTCAGGGTCCTGGGTACGAGCCCCACGTTGGGCAAAAGATTTCTGCATTGCAGGGGTTGGACTAGATGACGCATGTGGACCCTTCCATCTCTACAGTTATGTGAATCTTGCAAGCAATTTTCCCAGAGTGCAATGTAACTTTACGTGTTATCTTCACTAATGTGTGCATTCTTGATCTGTAGTTTTTCACTGTAGGACTGCATAACAAAATTGTGACCAGTCTTTTGATTCACTCCTTAATTCCGGAAGTGCAAATTAGCATTGGAATGAGAACTGAGTAAATTCCTTTCCACCACCATTCCTAGATAACATACTCCCCATCTTTCCCACACTATACAAAGCATTTATGGGATGCTGCCAAGGACCCATGGGTTCTCCAGATGGAGTGCATTCCACTTCAGATTTTGTTTGGCAGTGGGTGGCTGTCTGTCTCCCACCATTTTCAATTGTCCTTTTTATGTGAAGCCAACTTGGTGGCAGAAGCTTGCAGCCACCTGCTGCAGATTGGGACACTGTTGCAGCCTTCAGCCTCAGGTACACCTGCCTCAACTGATACTGAGGGGCAAAGGCATTGGGAAATCCATCATACAATCCTTTGCCAGGGAGCCCTCCAACAACAACAACTTGTTGTTATATGACAACTTGTTTATATGACACCCATCTGACTGGGCACCTCCCAACAAAATATTAAAAACACAGTAATGCATCAACCATTAAAAACTTCCCTGAATAGGGCTGCCTTTAGATGCCTTCTAAAAGTCAAATACCTGTTTATCTGTTTGACATCTGATGAGAGTGCATTCCACAGGGTGGGTGCCACTGCCAAGTGGGCCCTGTGCCAGGTTTCCTGTAGCTTCACATCTCACAGTGAGGTAACCGCCAGAAGGCCCTCAGAGCTGGATCTCAGTGTCCAGGCTGGATGATGGGAGGTGGAAACGCTTCTTCAGGTATACAGGGCCGAGGCCATTTAGGGCTTCAAAGGTCAACACCAGCTTTGAATTGTGCTTGGAAACGTACTGCAAGCCAGCGTGGGTCCTTTAAGATCGGTGTTATATGGTCCCGGCAGCTGCAAATCTGCTTGATGGTGAAAGAGGGTCAAGAGATGTTGAGTGGCTCAATGAGGAGGAGAGAAGGCAGGTGGGTGATGAAGAGGAGGTGGCTGGCGGTGTGTGTTTGTGCGGGGGGGGGGGACACAGAAGAGTGGAAGCAGGGTGAGAGCATGCAGTTTTGAGGAGGAGTGAGGAAAGTAGCAACTTGAAGTGAGACAGAGAAATAGGACAGTGGGAGTCCCTGGAAAGTGGAGATAAAATAGGTCAAGGAGTACTACTGAGAGGCAGACTCCATCTGAGGCATGACCTCTATCATATTCATGAGCCACTGCTAGCTTTTCCTTGGTGAGGTAGGGACACTGTTTCCATCCAGATTGTCGTATGTGCAGTTGTGCCTTTAGTCGTTCGTTTTTCTTGATAATGACTCTGCCTAGTGAGTTTACCTTCTTATTGTGCACAGGGGTGGGTGGGGGGAGGTGAAGGGGGAATTTGGAGCTCAAAAAGGGGTGTGTGTCATGTGTGGGAATGTGATTTACCCAGCTGCATTTTAATGCATCCCTACCTAATTCTGCATTTCCTGTACCAAACTGAAGGAGAGTCATCCTTCGAAAGCTGCACTCCTCTGAATTTTGTGGTGCAATTCTTCGACCAAAAAAGCTGGCAGAGAAAATGTGTATATTGGTGAAAATAACATATATAAAGCTCCATTTTGGGTGGGGAAATTGCTTGTGAAAATGCATACATTATTATTATAATCATAACCATTCCTTCTTTGTATGCTGCCTTTTCAGGTTTACACCACACTTTAGGCTGCTTGCAGGATGAAAAGGTTTACAGAATGAGAAAACTGTAAGAAAAATAGTCATAGACAAATCATGAAAACATCTCAGTGAATATGCAATAAAATTAAACCAATCTCGCATAAATCATAAGGTCTGACCGTGAAGATACAAAAAATGAATACCAAGAACAGCAAAAATGAAGCCAAAAAACTCCCCTAAACAATACCTCACCCCAAAGGTTTATGAGTAGTGTGTCCTGCAGGACTCATAGCAAAGATGATCTCTGGCCTCTTAAGCAGCAGCCTCAACTTTTGTAGTTGGCCCCCCCAGGCCAAGGGGGAAAGATGCTTGGGAGAAATATACACTAGGATGAGTATACCACCCTGCCCTGCAATATATTGGGGGTGGGGTGGGGAGGTTCTCCAAAGTTTTTAAAAGAAAATAACTGATGGAAATAGGGGGAACTGTGTGTAAGGACAGATAAAAGAAAGCACTTCCTCACACAGCCACAGTGAGCTCAGATCGCTGACCAAGGTTGGTCATTGGACTAATTCAGCAGGCTTTTCTTCGTTCTTACATTCTTAAGGTTGGAGAAATGAGCAACGGAAATCAACAGAGTCATCTGTCCCTAGTCATGCAGAGTAACAATTGACAGGCTGAATGAAGCCTCCAGGTTTGGCTGGATAAAGATTAAATACTAGTAGGGATGTGGCCTCCTTTCACTATCTCAGCAGAACCTGTTGGTTTCTCAAAGCTCCAGTTAGGGTGGCTATGTGTCCTGCTGCTCAGTCCTGCTTTTGGAGGGCCAGCCAAAGTGCAGTTTAAAAACAGAGCAACATAAGGAGGGGAACAGGAGGAGGAGCCTTGAGTTGCTCACCTAGTAGTAGTGTCAGAACAGCAGACTGAGCAGGCCTGCACAGGTAATCTGCTTTGAGGCTTCCCCAGAATGTTGTAGAATGTGACGTATTTCTGTTGCAGCTACAGCAACTATTTTGCAACATGCATCTATATTCCAATTAGCATGTGCAAACCTTATGCAGATCTGTTCCATCGTTTTGTTTCAGATTTTTCCTTTTCTTTTTGGTGGTGTGCAAGCCACCATCCTGACTCCAGCTGAAACCTACCTCTCCAACCACTGATCTCTGGGGCCATTACCTTACTAGTGCACACTCCTGGTTGAGACTGATAAACAGCCATGCATGGCCCTAACATATAGAGCTGATAACCACATGAATCTGCTGGAGATAGCATATAAAGCATCATCAGTGCTCTGTAGACAATATCTGCTGTTGATACACTGGTGTTTGGTTATGCTGCCTGGACTGGTGGAGCAAAGACTTCATCAACCTGATCCTGTTGAGAAGCGTTAACATGCATACCGTTTCAAGTATCCTCTAGTGCTGATTGTGAGTCAGGCGGAAGCTGCTTTCAGAGTCCTCCAGTGGAATGCCATCTGTTATTGAAGTGATGATGTCTGAGCTTCTTCGATGCGACCAAGTCCCACGGCACTTTGGTAGAATGTGGAAAGAGGAGCTTTGGTTGACTGTATGGCATGGACGATTCCCTCCCTGTGGTTTCAGGGAGAGTTGGTGCTGATGTGGAAAGATGCTACCATGGAATCCAGCCTAAGGTTTGTAGTGATGATCAGGTTTGTCCAGGCAGCTGACCAGTGGCTTCATACAATTTTGTGTAAGGCCTACTGATTAGTAAGTATCTCATGAGGGATTGCTGCACTTCCTTTATGCTCTGGAGCCTCTTTTCAGATACTCTATATATTTCAGTCTCTCCCCAATACTGTGGGATGGCTGGGGAAACTTTTTCCATCCAAAGACCGCATTCCACTCTGGGCAACCTCCTGGGAGCCACAGCAAACCATTGGGCAAGGCTGGAGGCAAAGGTGGGCTGAGCAATGAATGTGAAAATGGTAGGTTGTTTTCATTAGAACGTAAGAAGAGACTGCTAGATCAGGCCAATGGCCATTTAGTCCAGCATCCTGTTCTCACAGTGGCCAACCAGATGCCCCAATGGGAAATCTGCAAGCGGGACCCAAGCACAAGAGCATTCTTGCCTCCTGTGGCTTCCAGCAACTGATATTCAGAAGCATTATTGCTTCCAACTGTGGAGACAGAGCATAGCAATCATGTCTAGTAGCCATCAATAGCCCTCTCCTCCATGAACTCTAATCCTTTCTTACAGCCATCTAGGTTGGTGGCCGTCTCATGTGGGAATGAGTTCCATAGTTTAACTACATGCTGTGTAAAGAAGTTCTTTCTTCTCTCTCTCTCTCTCTCTCTCTCTCTCTCTCTCTCTCTCTCCCCACCTCTCCATTCCCTCAGTGCCATCCAAGCAAACAAACACATTATTAGATGCTTTCCTGCCAGTCACAAACACTCAAGGAGGGTGAAAAGCAGGGCTGGCCAGGGATCTGGCCTGCGACGAGTCCCCAAGGAAAGAGATATAAAAAATAAAATAAAAGCAACAACTGGGCTACATTTGTACCTCGGTTCCCATCTCTATGATATCCTTACCTGACTTCCTCCTTGTATTCTGCTGAAGACGTTGCTTGTTTTCCAGGTTAGGTGGAGTGCTGGAGAGATGTCATTTGGCAAGAGCTACAGCATCTAATCCCCCCCAACCTAGTCATTTTGACAGAGGCTGGCCGGCCAGCATTCCTCAACATCTTCAAAGACCTGAGTAAACCCAGATCACCCAAGCCCTTTTCCTTTTAATATCTTCTTCCACACCTTGATCAAAGTGCAAATAAAAAATGGGATCAAACCTAGATTGGGTGCACTAGAAGAGGTCAAGGAGATGAGTCTGGTCTGGTAAGAGGAGATGCCAACCACCCAGATGCACACTCTTCTCTGTCCTGTTTTTCCTTTTTTCCTTTTCGCCTTTATTGCAGCTGATATATTGTTTTTGCAGGGGTGGGGGTGGGGATGGGATTGAATAGAGAGTTAAAGAAAATAAGCCACGTCAAATAGCTTGAATGAAGGACTTTAATTTGCAAGAGGATTATACACTTCTGCTTTCAGTCTCCCTGATCGAATTGAGGGAAGAGAGCCCTCTCCGTAGCAAGGAGCTGCAGGGACGGTGCATTTCAAAGCTGGGCACGTAGGATTTATGAATAGTCTGAGCCGATTTTACAGAGTGGGGATGTCTTGTCTAGTGGTTAGATTAGACAGCCTCTGGGCCAAGGGCAA